CGGTGTCCCTCCGCCAAGACGCAGACCCTGAAACCTCCAATGGTCGGAGCGAGAACGCCGAGAAGGAAGCCCGGCAGCCGCGCAGGAGAACGCAAACTCTCGGGCGCAGATAACGAAGCGGTCGGCCTCCCACCCACCTGTCGACGAGTCGCGGCGGGGAGCCGAATTTTACTGCGTCCCATAAATTCCGGGCACCGAGAGGGCGCGCGCACTCTCGAGGGCGCTTCACACTCTCGCGGCGCGCGGGCGCGGGAGGAGGCCAAATTTATTTACCACACAGCGGCGTCGATTTGTAGCAGTTTACGAGCACGCATTTGTGCCAGACTGGCTGCGCAGTTACACGGACTCAGTCACCGCCGCGAACATACAAGCCGCGACACAAAAGCTTATCGCGCTTGACCTTTTTTTTTTTTTCCTTTTACCTCGCCGTTTCTTTGGTCTCCCTTTTTTTTTTTTTTATGGTCGCACTGTGTCCCGCGTTCGGTTTGAGCGGGCCCGCGGCGGACCATTCGTAGTTTGACGGTAAAGTGAGCTTAGTGGTCGACCATACATTACAGCACCGGACCCGATGTGCTGGGACGAAGGGGCAGGGGAGAGACGCATTGGCGAGGGCGCGGAGGGAAGTAGAGGAAACAGAAAAGGGGGGGGGGGGGGGGGGGGGGGGCAGATTGGTGTCGGTTTCGGTGCTTTTGAAAACGCGCGCTCCCGAACACATTTCTCGGCCCTTTATCTTCTTTTAAGAGAGCTCATAAACTAAGTCGACGTTGTTACGTCGGCGGGGCCTTTTCTCTCTCCTTACAAGGCCATAAAACCCTGGGAGGGCACTTGCGGTTTTGAAGGGGCACGCGTCGCGTGCCTCTTGAAAGTTCGTTTAGGGAGCAATGGAGCGTGCGCGTGTATCTTGTTCTTTCTTTATGCTTGCTTTTTCTTCGCGTTGCCTGATGTGGAGGCTTTTATTTGGGCACGAACGGGCGAGTGCGGGGTGGGCCTTTCAGCGCGAGACGAAAAATGCACGACGATTTTTGACTGGACCGTATCTGGGTTGTCAGAAATCAAGGTCAAGGACGGCTTTGGGAGTTGACTTCAAGTACTCTCCTGCTGCTGAATATCGACAGATATTGAGGCTTATTTTATCGAGAGATATATTAATAGGCATCTGAGATCATTCCTTTATCTTTATCTTTATCTTTTTTTACCGTGAAGTTCGTCTTAAAGGTGAGGGCCTTCTCTACGGCCGTTACCTTTTCGGTTCTTTTCAGTCGATTTGCGTTTATAAAAATGAGTTTTAGGTAGGAGGACCGTTCGGGCATGGCTGTTAATTCCACTATAAATCAAAGAGAATATTTATTTTCTCTGTCCAAAAAAAAAAAAAAAAAGCAGAATGTTGAACTTTGTTCGACGTGAGGTGGCTGTCAGAGGATTCCGTCTTCTATATGCGTCAGTCGGGAAATAGGTTTTCTGGTTTCGTGAATTAAGGAACTCTCGGAGGGAAGTCATCACGAACCGCGATGGCATTCCACCACAGTTCTACCTCACCGATGAGATAAACGACTTCCGTAGATTGTTAGGACCAGTAGGTCCTCCGAACTTATCACATACGTCGGGGGAGGCTGCGTACATATAGACAGCGTTGCCCCTGATGATGCTCGCCTGCACAAAGGTGCAACCACTGCCCGTGCCGCATGATAAGGCAAGATGAAGCCGAACGCTTCCTCTGTTCGCCACGCACGTTAGCGGCCTTCTTTTCCCGTCGCCGTCTCCTTCCTCGTGCGAGAGTGACACGCCGGGGTCGGGTCGCCCCCCGCGACCGACGCTCGTCGGCCCCTCCACGCACGCTCACGAACGCGCACGTCGCCGCCGCTGCGCCGGGGGCAGGAAGAAGACTCGCCGGGCACGCACAGGTAGGACGTGGCGGCCGAAACACAAGCGCCAACGACCACAAAAATAAAGAAAAGAGGCGTCCGACCAATGAGAGCTCTCGGCGGGACCTTCGTGGAGGCTGCTTTCCTGTTCCACTCACTTGGCCGGCGTGAGGGGGCCTGCATCAAAATGTGCGCGAGCGAGGCGGAGTTGAATCGCGCAAGGGGGTCGCACGCTTCCCTCCCCCGCCGTGCCCCTCGCAACCCTCCCCCCTTCCCCCCCAGGCCGCTGTGGCGCCCGTCCCCCCACCGGGCTGCAGATATTACGCGTCCCTCGAAAAAAACATACACCTCCGCATCGCGCTGCCGCGACGGGCGACGGCATCAGCCTGGTGACAAGCGAGCGTGGACGCGCCGCGCGTTACGGGCACAGATTCGCCGCCGTCAACCAGCGGCCCGCCGCCAACGGCCAGGACTCCCCGCTCCGACGTACGGGATTCCCGACTTCTTCATCTTCTTCGCTCGATCACCTCCCGGATTGCATTCTCGGAACGCGGATTGCGGCCGGCGCTGCCCAACCTTCGGGGCCGCTTGACGGACGCGCCGACGGACAGGATCGGACGGCCGACGCCACGTCGGAGGCAGGCCCTGCCCGCGGGGCGAGGCGCGCCCGCCGGGGGTTCCTGAACGGGACAGGGAGGCAGGAGAGGGACCGGAGGGACTGAAGGGACCATCGGCAGTACCTGCCCCCCTCCCCCTTCGGCCGGCCGCTCCGCCAGGAGTCTTGCCCCCCGCTGAGGGACGTGTGCTCGTCGAGCGTGATTATTGTGCGTGTCGGGGCCCGCTGTGAATTGTTCTCTTTTCGCGGAGGGGGTTCGCAGTGACCGCTCACCTCTTCCGCTGACCGATTGTGGCCCCGTGGTGCTCCCATTGGCCGCTCGCGACTGTGGCCCCCCTCCACCACCCGTGCGCGGACCGCGTGTGCGCGAGGAGGTGAGGCGGGTGACGTCCGGTCCGGGGCCGAGTGTGATCGCTGTGTCCGCAAACAACAAACATCGGCGGCGAGAAACGGGCCCGGAATGAAGAAGAAAGGCCACGGTGGGAGCGACCCGCACATCTGTCGTCGTACGGCGCTAAATTTAGGAAGCGCCTCGTGGTGTTCCTGGTGAATTCAGTGGCTGCGAGTGCCAGCGACGTGGGGCTGCACCGACGGGCTCGCGACAGCCTCGGCCAGGTAGTGGGGTTCGGAGCTCGGAGCGTGCCAGGTCGAAGAGAAGCGTCAGCTGTTTTCTTTCTTGGCCATGGAGATACGACTCCGCAACGAAGCGCCTATGGATGATTTGGCCGTGAGTACCGCTATTTCTCTCGGCGTTGAGAACCGGTACCAAACTGCCGCGATCGCTTTTTCCTGCCCTGGCTGACACTTATTTTTTGCGTGGTTGCCATGAGTCTGAAATTCTATGTTTTGTTTAGCTTTAAACTATATCGTTGATCACGTGACAAATGGTCGCTCTTCTGCCTTTCCTGGGGCTAAATGAAGGACTTTAGAGTTAAAACGCAAACAAAACTCGTCGTGATTTAACTTCAAAACTACTTACTATGTATCAGCCGCGGGCACTTCCTTCTCAATTATCCGGAGCGGCGAATAAAGTGAGCCTGTCAGGAGAAAACTAACCAATCCTCGAGATCGGTTAAAAACTGCGGGTGTGAGCCCAATCAGTAATGTGAAACAACAAGAAAAGTGGCAACCAGCAGTTCCGCAAAACGAATCCCACGTTGACTAGACGCTAAACTAGTCGATAGAGACTCAATCATTAGTAACTGGATAGCCTGCAGAGGTGTTCCCAGCGCAGAACTATCCCGTGAGCTCAGCGAGGTAACCCAATCCGTCAAGGCTGGAAACCCTCGCCCAGGACTTCGGAAGCACGAAAGCTGCCTCGCCGCTCGCTTCCCTGAGCGGGCGGCGAGGGCCTCCCCATCATTTTCCCAAGCCACGCCGCAACGTGGTTTCTCGACCAAAGTGCGTGTAGTGCCCAATTTTTTATTTTTTTTTTTGTACGTGTTCCTGGTTTTGGCTATTTCAGAACAGCGAGACGTCTCACATAGCCTAAACGGAGGCGAAAAAAACAACAAAAATAAATGCGTCGTAAAAAAAATTGTTATAAAACAACAAAATAATACGAGTGTACGTGGGTACCAAGAGACGGAAATCTGTAAGTGGAATCGTGCATTATTGCCTTGCTTGTGGAATATATTTTTAATTTTCGCTCTTTTGAACGGGTAAGGCATAGATTTCAGAAGGATGCTACGTTATGCCATATTTAGCAATCCTTCCTTTAGGCGTGTTAATCCATGCCGATAGAACCTATCGCTGATACACACGCTACGGGAAAATGAAAAACAAAAAATATGAATGAAGTTTAGGAACCTAAAATTTTGTTCTTTAGTTCGGATCACGTTCGGAAGTCTTCTCGTGGTGGGAAACTTCATTTTTTTTTCTTCTTTTTTTTTTGTGACGATATTTTTGTTTGAACGGCGCGGAGCGCGACGTCGCCGGCACGCGACCGCACCGGGGTCGCGCCCGTGCCGCGACTGGCGTGTTCGCGTCACGGCGTTGGCAGGGGCAATCACGGCCCGTGACGTGGTCGTGCGCCACAATTCGGCAGCGCTTCGAACCGCTTCCCCGTACGCGCGGCGCGAGGGCCGGCCCCGCTGGCACGCTCGCCGCGCCGTGATTGGTGCGCGGCGCCGGACATGGGGCACTCTCCGCGCCAAAGGTGTATTCTTCTCTCCGGACCGTGCGTGAGTGACTCCCCTCGCCCAGTGTAACTTATAATCCATATCTCATCATAAGCATTTCTGCTGCCAGGTCGTTCGGCTGACAGACAGACGGGCTGCCGCTCGCTCATTGGCCGTCCGTGATCGTCACGTGACGGTCCCACCTATGATTATCGCCACCTGCTAATTTCACCGGGAGCTTGCGGCGAGAAGGCACCTCTGGCCGTCGCATGCTTCTGCCGCTATTGTTTCTGAGCCGCGTCCCGCGGGCCCCCGTCTCTCGGGTGGCGCCCTCGCCTTCCCCGCAGGGAGTCCAGTTGCCCGCTGCGCCATGACTGCTGCGGCCGGCGGCCCGCTGAAGCCATGACCTCGTACTTCGGCAACCTGTCCCCCGGAACCGCGGGCTGGGCGGCCAACGGTCAGGACCCCCACTTCTACGCCACCCACAACTCCAAGTATGCCGCGGCGCACGCGGCGGCCGCGGCCCACGCCGCTGCAACCGCCGTCGGGGTCGCGGGTTACTGCGAGCCGACGGGCGGTCCCCAGTATGCGCCGACGTCGCCCTTCGCGCAGGGACGCTACTCGTACGCCCCGCGCTTCGACTCCGGCGCGCCCAAGTCTCCGTACGACGGCGCCCTGCACCACCAGCAGTCGCAGCAGCACCACGTGCCGCACCAGCACCCCGGACTTCCGCCGCACCACCACGCGCTGCAGCAGGGGACATGCTACGACGCGGGTGTTTCGCCGTACTACTCGGCGGCAGTGCCGTCGAGGCCACCTACGGAAACTGTGCACGTGGCGACGTCGACCGCCGTCAGCGTTGTGACCGCCAAAGAGTACGTCAAGCAGCAGGGTGCAGCTCAGGGCGGGGGGGCGGCGGCTGTGTTCTCCGCCAAGCAACAGACGCAGCAGCAGGCCTCTTCCGGATACTTCGGGCAGGGACAGCAAGCTTCGTCGACGAGCCCGCCGACCCCCGCTGTGACGCCGAGCAGCAACGGCGGCGGCGGGTCGCAGTTCGACGGTCCCGGCACGCCCGAGAGCTACGCGGGCAGTGCGGGCAGCGGGGACCAGGGGGCCCCGGTCGACCGCCAGGGCTCGCCCGGAAGCGCCCACTCGCCCAGCAAGGCGGACAACTTCTATCCCTGGATGAAGTCCTACTCAGGCGAGTAAATTCGACCGTATGCCTCTCGGTTTTTTTTAGCTTAATTTTTTTAGCTAAGGCTGGTAAAAAACACACAAAAAAAGTGTGTTTTTTTTCTTTTTTTTTTTTGGGGGGGGGGGGGGGTTGAGGGATTTGGGTTTTGTATCAACTGATCCAGCTAGCTACATTTTTTTTTTCTGTTTGCGTAATTATTATTTCTTTTGTATCAACGGCTTCGTGTACAGCGCACTGTGAGTTATTATGTTTTAGTACTACACGCAGTTAGGCTAAAAGTAGGCAAAAATTCAAAGGCCATCTTAAGCTTAGATTCAAAAATAGCTAAGGCTGAATGAAGTGGGCGACTATACAAATAGTTTCGTGTGACCTGGACAGTCATAGCTACTTCTCTGCTTGATTTCTCAACTGCATTTGTTACTTCCTATTTGTGGTGTCCCTTATTCTAGCCCAGCCTCGGAGTTCATCGTAATTATTTTTAATTTGAACCAGCTCCTTTGTGCATTCACTTTTAATTTACTTCAAGGCATCATCCGCCCTCCTCGGGGTTCAATTTTCGTATCACTACGTCAGCACACGTCACCTTGTTTCCATAAACATGTTCTATTTTTGAGTGAAATATTGTACGTGTTCTGGTCGCGTGCATGAGAGCCAGACTTGTACACGTTACTGAAAAAAAAGTAACCGATTACAATTAAAATTACTTCACTGTAATATGTAACCGACTAAAATTACAATTACAGCATTAAAAAAGTAATCGAAAAATTACTCTATATAGTAATCAATTACTTTCCACGTTACTTTCATACAACTTCTTTGTATGACTTTTTGTTTGAGGGGTCTCATACTTAGTTGTTCGAAAAAAAGAAAAAAAAAAACGCATCTCTACGTGGTGAATGATGTTGATTGGGACGAAGCTCTGGTGGTGCTTGTCTGCGTAGACGCTGAGCCGCAGCATGCCGAGCCTTTCTTTCGTTTTCATCCATGTCACGCTCCGGTCAAATGCTCAAATGCGTATATGACCACGCTCCATACTACACATTCTCTTTCTGACATGGATTAAAACGAACGAAAGGCTCGGCATGCTGCGGATCACCGTCTACGCAGACAATCACCACCAGAGCTTCGCCCCAAATCAACATCATTCACCACGTGGAGATGCGTTTTTTTTCTTCCCTACACGAGCACGTGAGCGCGTGAGCTCACGAGCAGGAGCACGTGCACCCGAAGGCGGACGGACATACGGACATGGCTAGCCCCTTCGCAACTTCGCCCCTATACTCCCTTTCATGCTTGAGGTGCAACGCTGTCAAAGCTACTGGCGCGAGCGTGGGGCTTGAGCTCGTTAATCATTTGCACGCCTTCTCGCGCAAACAAAACCGTAGATGAAGCCACGCACTCGCGCCAGTAGTTTTGACAGCGTCGCACGCTAAGTATGAAACAGAGTATAAAAAGCCTTGACCGTTTTTGCTTAGAGCTGAGTGAGTGAAGCCAACACACCCAATCCATCTCGTAAAAATAAAAATATTGAAAAGAGCGCTGTTCAAATACATTAATCGCAAGAGGCTCGATAAGATCATTTTACATAGCCAAGCGTAGTCGCCGGTGTGCCAAAAAAAAAAATGTACCCAGGAAACGAAGCATAGTGAAGTGGCCTACTAATCCTCGAGGTCCCGTGCTTAATGGATTCGAAAGGAAAAAAAAATATTGACCATTGCCCAGAGCTGAATGACTCCACACTGTAAGAAATGCCTGCGCGCCTACTTACCCGCAAAACACTTGAAGACCCAATCTCTCCAATCTACGAAATCAGCTCAGCTAATGATGAGGTGGAACATAGAACTCAAAATTAAGTCTGCGCTTTGGCATTACGCAATGCAAGCATTACGCTTTGCATTGCGTAATGCCACAGCGCATACTTCGTTTTTAGGTCTAAACGGATGTTCCGCCTCACCATTCACCGAGCTGGTCTGCTAGATCGCAGAGATTGGCTCTTTCAGTGTTTTGCGGGTAAGTAGACGTTCAGGCATTTCTTAGAGTGCAACACATCTAACCGCCCTCCCCCCCCCCCCCCCCCAAAAAAAAAAAAAAAAGAATAAAAAAAATTGTAATGGGTAATTTTGAAATCGATGACATCAAAAAAGTAATTCAATTGCAGGTATCGTTAGTCTTTAAAGGAATTAATTGAAGCGTTACAAAATTACAGTAAAATGTAATTGATTACAAGTAATCCATGACTTGTAGGGCGTGACGTACAACTATGATGAGAGCTAACGTGAAACATTTATGCACATAAACAAGCAAACAAAACAGTTTTAACTCTACATGCTTTCCCTGTAATATATTGCGAAAACTAGCGCCATCGGTAACGGCAATCACTTCTTCCGAGAGTACATTCAAGTCCTCGATTGTTCGCACAAACAACGAAAAGAAACACGGTGTGTATGATATTTCTACTTCTTTTATAATAATCCATGATTCAAGACGGATGATGCACTGGCAGGATGTAAATACCTTTTTGGAGACCTTGTACTTTCTTTGTCGTTTTCATAAACAATTCGCTCGATAATCCATCAAAGATGCTGCATACTGAATTGTGGGAGCGCTACAATTAGGGTAGGCGTACCACAGAACAAAAGAAAATATTATGCCAGGGAATGGCAAAATACTTTGGAAAGTGTATTTATATCCAAACACAGAAAATTTCGACAAAAATGTATTTAATTACATGTCCAATTACACTCTTCAGGAAAGTATTTATATACAAGATACCGATTACAAAGAGCAGATTAATCATCTTTCCATTCCATTCCATTTCCATTTCAAATACATTTTGTTCTCAAGGACCGACATCTTAGACTTCAATTTTAACCAGGAAAAAACAAAAAAATGCTCAAATAAAAAGTGAAGTTTATATATACTGAGAATCAAGTGCTTAGAAAGAATCTTGCAGCTTTTAAGATATATTTTGTTTGTACGTCATATCTTTATAGGTGGATAAAACATAAGGAACCACAATGTATTCAGTGTAAGATTAATTTAAAGGTTGAGTTAATGCATCAAAGCCTTTCCAAAACAGATGTCGTTAACCCGACGTGCTTAAGAAATGGAATCACCCTACCAAAAGACAATGATTGTACTCGTTCCATCGATTCAATTCGTAATTCTACGCTTCCTACTTTCTTTAATCTTCATGCTGCCCAAAGTGCTGCAAGTTTAAAGGGGTACTCCGCCGTTTTCTTCATAGTCCCCGATTTGCCTAAAAGCTTGCTAGACACACCAACAAACATCGCTGAACTAGTAACCCAAATATTTGGAGAAAATAACTTTTTTTGGTGCAGTTACAGAATTTACAATTTTGGACCTCATCGTGTTTTTCAAAGTGAAAAGCTCTACGGGCAACATTGAAAAAGTGACGTCATGGTTGGGTAGGAGTTCACTCTTTGGGCTGTAGACTTTGTTCACATCTGATTACAAACAGTTTCATGGTGTCAAATGAATGCTTTGGAAGGTCGCTCCAGCTCCCGCGCAGCAGCACGATACAAATGCTCGGCATAGTTCATATTTAGACTGCCCGCTCGAACCGCAATCCAGCCCAACCGTGACGTCAGGGCAATGAAAAGCGCGGGTATATTCGAATCTTCGTTTTGGCGTCGTTTTCATTTGCCGATTTCACCATAACTATTCTGAATTTCGCGATACTAAATAGCATACCGAAAAGAGTAACGGACGGCGATTTCGAATATATGGTTAGTTGGGGTTGCTCAAAATATCGCCGGAGTTCCCCTTTAATGCTCTTTGTATACGACTCCCTTCGCTAATATTGCGTACTGTAATATTTGATTGCGAAAAGCAGTGCCCAAAACCGCATTTAGGGCTGTTTTTGAAATACTCAAAGTATTGAAATACAGTTGACAAATAGACATCTTATAAACCCTGAGTTGGGAAACAATAAAAAAAATGTACGTTTTCTTATTGTTCCCCATCTCAGGGTCTACAAGTGGCGATTCATTACCAGCTCGCCTGCACTCTATCACTGCTGACAAATAAATTACGCCATATTAACTTAAGTACGAAATAAAAGATACCCAATGTACTTTAAATACGTATTTAAAATACTTGTATTTAGAGTACTGCCCGTATTTGTGCAGTACATTTCTACGTCGTCTTCGGTATTTCTGCAGCCAAATTTGGAACCCGGAAATTTTTAATGAGCATAAAAAAGCAATCGAGGCAACACAAATATTTGAAGCAAAATCTGTTGTCGTTGGTTTTTGTTTGAAAATTTAGTTCTTTAAGACGCCCGAAAAAGCCACAATTAAGCCAAACTTTACCTTCTTTGGACAGAATTTCCGTATCTTGACCAAAAACTGCCTATATTGTCCCGAAATTGCCAAATAAGTGCTGAAGTTAGTCTTCACCGCTGGTTGTTCGGTATTTTGTGGCAAATTTCGGTATAAAGTTTCACAGAAGTGGCAGATTGAGGCTTTACTGCTCGTTTATTAGTTCATGCGTGCCAAGTTGGGTTCAAGCCTGGCACTCTGGCAATAATGTGGCGAGTCATAGAAAAGCCATAAAACAACGAAGAAAAGTACTCTTACGCTTCCTTCGAACAAAACCATACACCAGGTCCAAGTTAGGCCTTTAGTATTGCCAAGCTTGTTCTAGGTTAGGCGCTTCTCTGGCTTGCCACGTGGGGCTTGACCCAAATAGGCTTAGCGCACATCGTGAATGTATGCGCTGAGAAAACAAAAGTATCGCGGTCATATTTGTATTTAATATATTGGGTATATGCAGTTAGTGACCCCTTCGTAACCATGACCAAACAAACATTTTGTTTTATTTCTCGAGAACACATATTTTTTTTTATTTTTATCTTCAAGAATGTCAGGCGAAGGTGTCGCATCAGAGTATAGGGTGTACACCCAACAGCTTTACATGGTTTTTCTCTTTTTTTCCTTTGTTTTCGCAGCGAAAATAAACTATGCATTACCGAAGGCTCATTC